CTTACACCGATGTTTCTCGTGGCCAAAAGTTTTGCCTTGATATGTTTTATTTGGGACAGTCTTGCCCAAATGAACAGCTATTCCTTTATTTAAGCACTTGGCACATCATTTTCTGTTCCTCATCTGATAAAATGTCTCTTATTGCTTCAGCTTCCTGTTTTTTTATGAAGCTCGAGTAGCTGTTGTGGTTTGAGATCTGTTCTACGACTCTCCTCACCAGCCACGTCGGAGGAGGAATGATATTTACTTTTGCGGGTGAATATCAAACATTTAAACTAAAAACTGGACGAATTTAAAGAAAGACGAATATTGGAGTTCCGCTGTATATCCAGTATACCCAAAGGCGGGGAAAAGTGTCTTTTACTGCTATTGCTGCTGCTGAACTTAAAATAAATTTTTTGCATTTACCTTCCATAAAATTACCATCTATGTACAAACATTTTTTATTTAAGCACTTAATTTACTTTATCCTTTGTGATGTTTTAACACTATGAACACCAAAAGTCTAAAACTCTTACCTCCCCTCCTCTTAGTCCGACCTAGAATGTAAGAAAATCCCAGAGAGTGGACTATTTATATTACCTTGGACTCAGAATTAGAAAGCTGTTTGTTAGAAGTGATGTGACGTGTGGCTAGTTAATTGCAAGCTCTGGCACCCACTGCCAGGATAGGAAGTTTGAGTGGTAGTGAAATGTGACAGAACTTCACATGATGTCACCAGCTTTCATTTCAGCTTAGTGGGCCACACAGCCATCATCCCAGCAGTTGTCCTTGTCTCTGATTTGTTTTCTTGTCAGTCACTAATCAAATAACAAATAACTGAAAGATTAGATATCAAGTTAGAGAAATCATTTTGGAATCTTTTTTTTTTCTAGTACTTCTGATTAAGAAAAACAGTGAAATTTAAAGTTCAGTGTCTGGTTCGATGTTGTAAGCAGTGAAAGATATTTTCTCTAAATATTTGTTTGTGTTTCCGCAAATTATTGCTGAACAGTTGACTATTTTCATTGTTATTTCAGTACTTAAACTTTTAACATGATTACAAAATAAATTCATGTATTGTTATTTTATCGATAAACAAATTGAGTAATTTAACTATAGTTAAAAAGATTTATTTTGTGTCTGCTAATTCTTAAAATGTTACTTGTGCATCTACTGTTTTGATATTCATTCTACAGTTTAAATATTTGTCTATTACATCATTACCTCGTTGCATTGATTTGTATCTTAAAATGAACACTTTAATTCTTTCCGTTTGCATTCTAAGCTAACAACTTGTCTTCTCATAATTTTCTAGGCATTTTCTTCCACTTGTTATCTGTTTCAGAACTTCCTTCTTTAAGTCCATGCCGTTTGGTGTTGGTAGTCATGTCTGTTCACAACCTTCTGTCTTGAGTACTTTCAATCAGCTCTGACACAGATGATCTTCCATGCCATGATGTCAGACTGCCTACCATCTGTTCTCTCGGTCTCCCTCTGCTTCTTCTCCCCTCCAGTTTTCCTACACTCACGATGTACTCCAGTTTTCTCCTTCTCATCACATGACCAAAGAAAGTAGATTGTCTCTTTCTGATATAGGCCATCAGTTCTCTTTGTGAGTCAGTTTCTTTCAAGACATCTTCGTTACTCTTTTTATCTGTCCATGTTTTAGAACGTGCAAGCGTTTTTTAAAAATAGTTAAACAGTTTTATTTAAAATTATGACCTTGTTAATACAACATTAACAAATGCTTGTTTTAATAATAATAATAATAATAATATAATAACAAAATTAGAGAGCCACTGTTGTGTAGTGGCCAGACACTAGCCTGCAGATTGAAAGGTCATGTGTTAGGGTCTAGCTTGACCGGAATATTTTCAGAAATGACCTTGGCTGCCAGGTCAACCCAGCCTTGAGTGGGTGCCACGTAAAGGCCTGGAAAGTATAGACGACTGGCGTGATGCTGACCACATCACCCGACAAGTGCCAATTGGTCTATAAAAAGTAGGTCTAGCCCTATGTGCCTTAAGGTGTGGCAAATAATAAAGCCATTCAAATACAGTGCATCCTTGGTTTTACTGTTCAAAGTTAGAGTAAATTATGTATTATTTTGGTTTGTTGACTCAAAATATTAAACTCCAACTCAAATCTGACCGTAAGTGATAATAGAATTTTACAGTAATGAACATTTTCAAGTCTGTACGTTGTTTTGTTGCTTCATACAGTGTTATTTGGTGTATGTGGTATACAGATTTCTGTGTCAGTATCTTGGTTAGCATTCTGTATCATATTAGGATGTCCTCATTGAATTGACCATGGGAGCTGCTATAGTCGAAAGTCTTGGATTCGAACCTGGATTGAGACACATTTTTATAAAATGGCCTTAGCTCCCAGGCCAACCTAACTTAAGTTGAGTACTAAGAAATATCTTGGAAAGTAAAGGTGGCTGGTCTTCTGTTGATCAGTATCATCCATTGAATGTAAGTTAATCTGTAAAAACGTGGCTCTAGCATTATTTGCCTGATGCGCGATTGACGTAAAAAAGGTCCTTAATTTTTCTGTTTTGCTTTTAACTACATTGACAGTAACTATCTTATGTTTATGACATCAGTTCCTTGTCCTCCAGCCGAGTCACTGTGACGACTGTGCCTGTTATATGACACCTCACATGCCACCACCACCATTCTTTTACTACACCAAAGCTAGACCACATGGGGAATCCCCTGTGTGAAAATCGGTGCCCCATAGAAAGGACTCATGCGGAGATAATTAACTACCAGCTGACAGCCCTAAGGATTCAAGGGGAGATAACGTTTGCATTCATAATTACCCTCCCCAAGACAGCAGGACAAGAGAAAGGATTGGCGAATGTTCACACCACTGAAAGTTAATTTGACCCCTAGAAAACAAAATGCCATCTCCAGGTAGCAAACTATTTTAGCAGGTCAATCAATAATTCTTAAATAATAAATTGTTTCAGCCCACATAAAGTTGCTTCAGCTTGGGAATGAAAAACTGTTGGTATTGCTAGCTGTAATCATACATATGGCCAAATGTCTGAACGCGGTTTCTGGGACCTCTCCACGGCGATCCTCATTCACATGGTGGCACTTTGTGTCATCGGATGTTTATCGCTTGTGTGATGTCCTGGTGGGGTAGAAATTCAGTTCAGTTCAGTTATAATGATGCATTGCAACTATACAAATAATATATATAATAATAGTCGTGCCCATGTGGGATGCAATTTTTTTTTATCTGAAGCCCCACCCTGGCTTCTGCTGGAGGCCCTGAATATAGCTGAAGCATAGGTATGGCCTAACCTCTGAAAGGGGTTTCTGGAATCTCTCCATGGGTGATCCTCATCCGCATTGTGGCACTTTGTGTTACCGGGTGCTCATCGCTTGTGTGATGTCCTGGTGGGGTGCAACTACCTACCTACCTTTACAAAAAATGAAACTTTATCCATGTAGCCCTATTTTCTTTTTCTTTTGTCGTCTCACTGTTACCAGGTTGTAACCCAGTGTCGTGGTTTTCTGTATTTGTCTTGCGCTTCTCAGGTGGCTTGAGAGATGGATTTGTTCAGCTTTTTGCAGGTTTTATCTACACTATTTATCCCTCTCTTTCTTGGTCTTCCTCTCGCCTTCCTCCCAGATGTTCTGATTTTTACTTCCTAATTATTACATCTTAGGAGGTTGAACACAGTATCCGTGAATCTGTCTGTTAAATTGACATCCAGGATGTGACTCATTTGGTTGCAAGGTTTTATGTAAAGCAGTAAGTAAAGGAAGCAGTACACCGGGGATATGCTCCTAGATACATGCTTTTTTTTGGGGGGGGGGGGGGGGGGTCTAATACACCAGATGGCTCATGATGGTTGATATGGTCAACATTAGCCTGGCTGACTTCCCTGTGGGGCCTAACAATTGGGGACTAGCACCACTGATGTGGAAAGGGCTCATAACTGTTTTCTATTCTTATGTGTAAAAAGCTGTAAAATAACTTTCTAGTGATTGGGACAACTTTTCGCTCTATTTATGTTTAATTTCATTCACTGTTAGGGTGTTGGTTATTTCAGTTTGTTGTATTTCTGCATTAATCTATCCATGTTATATTTTATAACTAGTATTCAACAGCTGTAACCAGTTAAAATTGAGAGAATCGGTTTAATGGCACCAGGTTTGATCCCAAATAGCTTCATCTCTCTCTGCAGAATGACTAGCCACCTGCCAAGAGTTTCATACAAAGCACAAACTCTGAAGCTCTGGTGACTTTCCCTGTGCATCTCCATAAAAATTGCACCCCTGAACTGAATGATGTAGCTGTGAAATGAACCCACAGCCTTCGGGGCACAAGTCAGATAGGTTGACCACTTTGCCCCAGAGACACCCAGTTGTAACCAGAGAAAAAGGAGAAAAAACCTTTATTTTGAGCAACTTGCTCCAACACAAACTACTCTGTGGACGAAGGCCCTTATTTCAGCATCAGCAGCTATATAGCTCTATTCTCTGCGGTATATGCCAAGGGTGATTATTGCCTCAGTTTTCTCTTGCATTCTTTTTTCTGTTTCTGTCCATTCATCATGAAGCCTGACATGTTCCATTGAGCAGATTTGGCTACTTATGTCCTCTGCTTCCACCGGCCAGGACAGCACACTCTTTAAGCACTTAACTTTGTTCACCCATTGGCAGCTTGTGCAGAGAGTGTTTTATGTCAGCAGAGACACTCATGTATGCACACACCTAGGCCATCTTGTGTCTGGTGATTAAGTCTGGCAGGTCGAGGATAAATCACATGGCATGAAATGACATGTCTCTGGTGCACTTGAGGATTAGTCTCACTGCTGCATTTGCACATTTTTCCAAGCCTTTTCACCTGATGTCTGCTAATTCTGAAGAGGCCAAGCCCATACTCCTGCATGCAAATATAGTTTCTTTGTAGTAACACAGGCACAAAGCAACATTTAAAATAATCAAAGTAATGTATGAACAAAGAAGAAGAAGTCATGTTGTTTATATTTTCAGGTTTGACAGCTCTCAGAAGTGAAGAAGTGTATGACCTCATGATGAAGGACTATAATAGCAAATATAAGGTTAGCCAGTCTAAGCTTTGCTATGGTCTTGTTGATCTTCACATACATTAATTGTTATTCTCACTCATTTTCTATTCATTTCTTTTTACTTGATAGTGTAGGGACATGTTACTCCTTGTGGTAGCATGTTACTACTTGTGATCCTGGGTTACTCCTTGTGGTAACATGTAACTACTTGAGTTCCTGTGTTAAACTTGTGATAACATTACTACTTATGATTCTGTGTTACCACTTGTGATATCATGTAACTACTTGTGTTCCTGTGTTACAACTTCTGATAACATTACTATTTATGTTTCTGTGTTACCACTTGTGATAACATGTAACTACTTGTGTTCCTGTGTTACAACTTTTGATAACATTACTATTTATGTTTCTGTGTTACCACTTGTGATAACATGTTACTACTTGTGTTCCTGTGTTACAACTTCTGATAACATTACTATTTATGTTTCTGTGTTACCGCTTGTTATAATATTACTACTTACGATACTGTGTTACTCCTTGTGGTAATGTCTTACTGCTAATGATCCTGTGTTACTCCTTGTGGTAACATGTTACTAATTATGATCATATGTTACTTCTTGTTATAATATTATTACTATTTTTTTTATGTGTTACTTGTTATTATAATAATAATACTTATTATCTATGTTATAACATGTTACTGCTTATGATCCTGTGTTACTCTTTTACTACTACAAAGTCCCACAATTAAGTAATGAGACTAATTCCATAAAATTTAAAATAATCACTAGTTGAAGATATAACCTGTATTTTATTCAAAGTAAGTCCTTTGTGCATTGATACGGCAAGTGGCATGATCTAGCAAACACTGGAACAACCTCCGTATTTCTTCTGTTGTTATGGCCCTTAAAGTCGATTTTATGGTCCTTAAAGTCGATGTTATGGCCCTTTGGAAGTCATCAATATTGTCAAAGAAGTGTTTTTTCAATAGTAACTTCAATAAAGGGAATATAAAATAATCACAGGGAGACAAATCTGGGGAATAGGGTGGATAGTTGAGAACACAGGCTTGTTTTTTGGGCCAAAAATTCCTGTACAACTACCGCCCAGTGAGCCAGCACCTTGACATGAAGAAGGACAAAACTGCCAGGTGTTGAATACTCGGGTCAGACTCGGAGAATCCTTTTCAATAGACATTTTAAAATACTTAAATAAACTGTGGCTGTGACAGTCTGTCCCTTTGGAATAAATTATTTGAGAATAACTCTATTGCTGTCATAGAAGCATGCCAACATTGTCTTCACTTTAGATTTTTGAAGACGACTTTGTTTGCTTTTTGGTGATAATGATCACTTTAGCGTTAAGTTCTGGGATCAAAGCGAAAAATCTATGTTTCATCCTCTGCAACAATCAGATTTCAGAAATGTTTTTTTCTGTGACACATTTTGATGATGTCTTTTGCGTACTCAACACACTGATGTTTTTGGTCATTAGACAGCGAATGTGGTACAAACTGGCAAGCAACTTTTAAATTTTTATTTTGCCCAAATCTTCCACTAACATTTTACAAATGGCTTTCCATTAACAGCACATTCATCTGCCATCATCCTCACAGTCAGACAACGATCTTCTTTAATCCATTCTCTGACTTTTGCAATGAGTTCCTCATTACGAACAGAAATTGGGCTTCCATGTCTAGCTGCATTAGTAGTCATTTCCACACCAATTTTTAATCATTAATGTCACCTGAAAATCTGTGTACGAGATAAACAATTATCCCCATAAACTTGTCGCATCAATTCAGATGTCTCAATGGTGCTGTTTCTGAGTTTTGGAGACCAAGAAGACAATGGATAGATAATGTTCAGACAGACCTGCAAACACTTGGTGTCACCAACTGGAAAGAAAGACCAGGGAGAGAGATGAATGGAAGCGGGTGATATCTTCAGCAATTAACCTCTAGGGCTGGGAATGCTGAAGAAAAAGAAGACTGACTATTGCACATAATTACAAAAGCTGTTAGGTGGAATAAAAAAGCGTTTAACCTTACTTTACCTTCCTGAAAGGAGTAGAGTGCAAGGTGTAGAGTGCCTTCTAGGATGGTACTGACAAGGGAGGAGGAGGAGATGTTATATTTTTGGGAGAATTGTCTGCTTCCAATAAGAGTTAAGGAATCTGAAATTCTGGTGTTTTTTTCCTGTTTTTTCCGTCCTGTCTCTTTTTACTACTTGGACCTAGTTGAGGCTCATCAGCTTCGACTTTTACTAAAAATGTGCTCAAAGAACTTTGTTTCTGCCTTCTCCTCGGGATGTTTCAGAAAATGGACATTGTCTGGTCATTCCAGACAATGCAGTTATAGATTCTTTGGGCTCTATTGGGGTGGTACTTCTTTGCAAAGTCATTGACACCTCTCAGTGGCTTTGTCTTGGCAGAGTTAAACAAAAATAGCGCGCAGTGTCTGACTAATTTGGACTCATACAAGATCGTGTTCCAAACAAAGGTCAAATACCAAACGGCAGTTTTTGCGTCTAAACAGAATGTATTCGAAGTTGAACATTTCCAAAGTGAACTTATACCCAGGTATATATGTTTAGAACAAAAAGAAATGCAGTTACTATTTGTATATCACTCTAGTAGGAAAAAATAACATAAAATGAAGCCCTTAACATAATCACATATGGACAAAGGATAACTTTATTTCAGTTTTAAAATTAGCAGTCAAATGTTGGAGAACCACTGAAGATACAGAATGAAAGTTAAATGCATTTAAAAAACATATATTCTGTGGTTTTTAGTTTTGTGGTTTTTCTTCTGAAGAAAGAGAATAGAGCCACTACCCCACTGACATGTATGTCATAGCAGGTGACTAATTAGGGGTGTTTCCTCGAAAGTCGAAGTGCATTTGCTAGAGAGGCCAGGAACCACTAGTCTGTATAATAGATGTGCAAGCAAAACTGATCTTCTAGATTAAGACCAAAGTTCATGAATGGATGATCAACCAGAACTTTCCATTAGAATTTACACCTAATTAATTGGGGTTGAGTAGTCTCAAGGCAAGGCATCCGCCTCGAGTGCTGGAGGTCCGTGTTCAAGCACCGGTGACAGCTGTGAATTTATTCCTGTCTTCTTCTAGTAATTTCCCCTGGTCTCTAGGTAGTAAAATCTTGTGGCAGTTGGAAATTTAAAAGAGTAGTCTAACCGTGCTGCTCGGGCAAAATTAAAGTATTTCAGGATCTTCGCCAGTGCTACAGAGTTGATGCACTATGCTGAGATTCTTCTGACTCAGGCTTGAGTCAAAAGTAGAACAGAGCACTTATGGGTTACCACCCTTGTGCCATGATGTAGATCTGTCATCTAAACCTAAAACCTCAAGCCAAAGAACGCTAATAATAATAAGAAGAAAACAAATCCTTGAGGAAATTGATCAACATTAAATAAGGTGAATTCAAGAAAGAAGAAGCAATCAGAGAACTGTCTAGTAGATAGCCTGTATCAACAGTCATAAGAAAAGGAAGATATTGATATGTTAGGCACATGCTGAGGTGAAGCAGACAGTCAAAAATGAGAAATGAGTGACTAATGTACTAAGGAAGCTAGGGTGTCCGAGTGAAACCTTATGATAAAGGTTGATGGGAGAGGCTAAAGTAGTCAGACTGCACTTCTTCTTCTTCTGCTTCTTCTTCTCTTCCACCTTGTACCTCATCGAAGTGTCAGGGGGTGGGGGGGGGGGGTGGGGGGGGGGGGGTGGAGATGTAACATTCGTTGATGAGCTGTGTCAAGAGAACTATTAAGACTGATGTTCATTTCTGTAAGGCTTTTCTTAATGCCATCATTCCATATTTTCTGAGGTCTTCCACTCTCTCTATACCTGTTGTAACATTTTAGTTTGGCTCGCTAAGCAGATAGTCCCAGGGCATTCTTGTTAGGTGTCCAAACCACTTCATTTGTTGTTCTTTGATGACCTGTAAGACGCTTTATTCCTAGCATTCGTCTGATTTCATGATTTCATATTCTGTCTTTCCTTGAAACTCCTGCAGTCTTTTAAAGGCATTTCATCTCTGTTGTCACACAATTTTGTGTTGATTGGAGTATGTTAATGTCCATGTTTGGCACTGATAGCATAGTGTTGGCCCAAAAAATTGTTCTGATAAGATTCACTTTAGCACTCCAGGGTTAAGGTTTGTATGTCAACAGGGGAGATAGTTGCCCCATTACTTTGGCACATCTCAAGCTAATTTCAGACTGCACTGTATACATAATATTGAAAAGATTTTACAGGATAGAACAGAATAGTGAAATCTGCTTCAAACCCTTTGCAATTTATAAACAGCACAACATGATGTGATGAATGTTATTGAACACCAAAGGACCTCCCTGTCTAGTTATTCTGTGTTCAGTTTTTCTACTATAGTGACATATACTTAAACTTCTCCTGTTTCATCTTGATACATTTTTAGTTCACTGAGAATCAAAGTATGTTGCTTTAAAGTTCACAAACTCTGAGGCAGGAAATGTTGAATCTGCCTGAGAGGCGAGAAACCGAGGGTCGATGTACAAATAAGCCAGATCTGTAAAACGAGTGTGCATGTGAAAAGTTGTAGAACCAAAGTCCAGAAGTGGCAGAACTCTCTGCTGGAGTTTACAGATGGTGAACACTTAAAAAAGAAGAAGAGTTAACAGACCAGTTTGTTTCCGATAATTTGTTTTTGCGATCAAAGTAGTTTGTATTTGTTCATTTATTTCAGGGAGCTGCGGTAATGTAGTTTCTAGACACTTAACGACCAGCCTGGAGGTTCAAATCCGCATTGAATTTTCCTTGTCTCCCAGGTCTACCCAATCTGAAATGGATACCAGGAAATGTCCTGGGAGGTAAAAATGACCGACCATATGTTGACCACATCACCCACTGAGTGCCAGTTGGTCTATAATAATATATCTTGCATCATATGTCCTATTCAACACTGAAGAAAAAACAGTCTTATCTTTAACATCAAAACAATTTTTTTTTAAACTTATTTATTTCAGGACTACATTTCCCACCTGCAGGAAAAGCAAAAGAAAGTAATTCGAGAAAAGCATAAAGAGTACAGTGCTGTAAGTTTATTTCCAATTTATGCGACCGACAGTAACTTAATAAGTGATACAGTCCTTCTGTTGTTTCTCTTCTTTTGTTATCCTTTTGTTTCCTTTTGTATACAGAACCTCAGCCGACAACAAACAATCCTGTCTTTTGCCGTCTTCTTCAGCTTCTTTCAGTCTCTTTACATATTGTTCATCCCTGTTTCTAATTCTCCCTTTTTGTGTGAATTGGTTTCACACAATCTCATTTTCCTTGTGCCAATGTGTGTCCCATCCACTAGCATCCTATCCTCACCTTTTGACCTTCTTGGAATCTGCAGAGGTCTCATAAAACTCTACGCTAGTGATCTGGTCATACCTTTTACTGCGGTACTGCCTTTTACTACTGTACTACCTTTTACATTACATCCTTGTAATGTTGTCATATCTTCTACTATAGTACATCCTTGTCATGTTGTAATACCTTCTACTATTGTACTGCCTCTTACTGTTGTACTGCCTTGTACTGTTGTAATGCCTTGTACGGTTGTAATGCCTTGTACTGTTGTACTGCCTTTTACTATTGTGCTACTTTTTACTATTGTACTGCCTCTTACTGTTGTACTGCCTCTTACTGTTGTACTGCCTCATACAATTGTAATTCCTTGTACTATCAGTCTATCATACTACCCTTTACCATTGTTTTTCTTTGTATTTTTGTTTGACCTTATACTGTAATGTCTTGTACTGTTGTACTATCTTGTACTGTTGTACTATCTTGTACTGTTGTACTATCTTGTACTGGTGTACTATCTTGTACTGTTGTACTATCTTGTGCTTTTGTGTGCCTTGTACTTTTGTGCTGCCTGTACTATTTTTCTACCGAGTAGTGTTGTACTGCCTTTGCAGTTTATAAAAAGAACTCATGGTAACATAATTTTGTCCTTAGGAGATAAGTTGGCAGGATACTTGAAAGCACTGACCATTTTATCAACATGACCATGTTGAAAAAGTAAAGAATGAATTGTTGCATTTTTCCTTGTTTATATCTAGCAAGCCAAACTGGACAAGACAAAGATAGAATCATACTCCAAAAAGGCAGCCAGATCTGCAGCAGAATTTAACAACAGTTTGATGAGGGATAGGAAGGAAGAGAGGAGAGCATATTTTGACCTCCAGACTTATGTGAGTGCATTTCTTCTATTAGACAGATAAGTCAAAATAAAGAAGTGACCCTTTTGACTTCAGTGGTGTAGTGGGCATATGATGCTAGAATCATATTTTTGTAGACTAAATGGCACTTTATGGGCGATGTGGTCAACAGTGCCGGCCACATTTACTTCCAGGGACTTTACCTGATCATTTTTACAGGTTGCCAGGTTCGATCCCAGCTGTGGATGATTTTTCTTGCATTGGTTTCGACAGTGGTACAGAGAGAGCTGACCGTCCAGAAAGCAGTGGCAAACTACTGAACGTAAAATTTGCTTAGAAAAACCACAACAGCCAAAAAATGCATTTGGTTGGTTCTGCAGCGTCCTGTAAAGGATATGCGACTAACAACAACACAGACATATTTTTCTTGCAATCTCTTTCTTGTGTGTTTGCCCTTAAAAGGGTAGTTGACATATTGTGTGAGGGTTTACACCTGGGCTGTGATATCTGCACTTTACTTTTTGACTCAGCGCATGTTATTTATGCATATTCTAATTAGTTGCCTTTTGCAACATGCTTGTTTAGGAGCAGTGTGTCTGTTTCTCAGCCATGTTTTTTGAGGTTTGAACAACGGATCAACATCATTGCACATGGATAGTAACCCATAAGTGCTTCATATTTCTTGTAACTCGAGTCTTGAGTCTGAAGAAGCTCCGCACAGTGCACAGGCTCTGTAGCACTGGCAAGGATCCTGAAATACTTTAGGTAGATTTTAAACTACAAATTTTGCCCAGGCAGCGCCGTTAGGGTACTCTTTATGATTTACAGCTGCCAAGGGATTTTTTACGTGCGCAACAATGCACACGGGCGTCCGTTCTCACTACCCAGAGACCAAGGGGGAATTACTAGATATACAAGTCTACGTGAAAAAATCCCTGCCCTTACCGGGGATTGAACTTGTAACCTCTAGCACTCGAGGTGGACACCATGCCTTGAGACCATGCAGCCACGTTTATAAGATTTCTAACCTCTGAACAGCAGTAGATATTGCATTAGCTGAAAATTTCATTTTGTAACAAATCATTTGCTACCTAAATTTACTTTTGTTTCTGTGTTTTGAAAGAGGCAGGTGCTTGAAGGCAACTTGTCACAAACATCAGGAAGAGACTGCCATTATTGTTTTGGTCATGTTATGAGAAGAGGAAAAATGGAGTGTGTTGTGACCACTGGAAAGATTTGTAGAAAGAGAGACAGAAGAAGACGGCACATTCTTGACAGCTTTTTGTTATGGCACGGATTGTAGATTATGGAGATGCATGATCGCCCATGACAGACGGCAAAGCACTTAATGATGATGATTTGGCCAGTGCCGTAATACCAAAATATCAGCCTTATAGGGACAGCAAGGCTGAAATATTGGCCATACAAGGCAAAAGGGTATGATATATTTACAGTGAATATGGGTCCCACTGTGTAAACCTCTTGCTCTCTGAAATACTATGATTATAAGTCTACACAGGGTTTTATTATCATGTTAGAGAATCAGTACCATTACACCACATTTTGTCTCATATGACTGGGTCTCTCTCTCTCCACTAAAATGAACTGTGTAGCTCAAGCAATGATCTCTCTCCACTGAAATGAACTGTGTAGCTCTGTCGATGATCTCTCTCCACTGAAATGAACTGTGTAGCTCTAGCAATGATCTCTCTCCACTGAAATAAACTGTGTAGCTCTAGCAATGATCTCTCTCCACTGAAATGAACTGTGTAGCTCTGTCGATGATCTCTCTCCACTGAAATGAACTGTGTAGCTCTGTCGATGATCTCTCTCCACTGAAATGAACTGTGTAGCTCTAGCAATGATCTCTCTCCACTGAAATGAACTGTGTAGCTCTGTCGATGATCTCTCTCCACTGAAATGAACTGTGTAGCTCTAGCAATGATCTCTCTCTATTGAAATGAACTGTGTAGCTCTAGCCATGATCTCTCTCCACTGAAATAAACTGTGTAGCTCTAGCAATGATCGCTGTCCACTGAAATGAACTGTGTAGTTCTGGCAATGATCTCTCTCCACTAAAATGAACTGTGTAGTTCTAGCAATGATCTCTCTCCACTGAAATGAACTGTGTAGCTCTGTCGATGATCTCTCTCCACTGAAATGAACTGTGTAGCTCTAGCAATGATCTCTCTCCACTGAAATGAACTGTGTAGCTCTGTCGATGATCTCTCTCCACTGAAATGAACTGTGTAGCTCTAGCAATGATCTCTCTCTATTGAAATGAACTGTGTAGCTCTAGCCATGATCTCTCTCCACTGAAATAAACTGTGTAGCTCTAGCAATGATCGCTGTCCACTGAAATGAACTGTGTAGTTCTGGCAATGATCTCTCTCCACTAAAATGAACTGTGTAGTTCTGGCAATGATCTTTCTCAGTTCTGGCAATGATCTCTCTCAGTTCTGGCAATGATCTCTCTCAGTTCTGGCAATGATCTCTCTCCACTGAAATTAACTGTGTAGTTCTGGCAATGATCTCTCTCCACTGAAATGAACTGTGTAGTTCTGGCAATGATCTCTCTCCACTGAAATTAACTGTGTAGCTCTAGCGATGATCTCTCTCCACTGAAATGAACTGTGTAGCTGTATTAATGATCTCCTTCCACTGAAATGAACTGTGTAGCTCTGGCAATCATCTCTCCCCACTGAAATGAACTGTGTAGTTCTGGCAATGATCTCTCTCCACTGAAATGAACTGTGTAGTTCTGGCAATGATCTCTCTCCACTGAAATGAACTGTGTAGCTCTAGAGATGATCTCTCTCCATTGAAATGAACTGTGTAGCTGTATCAATGATCTCTCTCCACTGAAATAAACTGTGTAGCTAGCAATGATCTCTCTCTACTGAAATGAACTGTATAGCTCTAGTGATTATCTCTCTCTACTGAAATGAATTGTATAGCTTTAGCGATGATCTCTATCCACAGAAATGAATTGTATAGCTCTAGCGATGGTCTCCCACCACTAAAATGAACTGTGTAGCTTTAGTGATGATCTGTATCCACAGAAATGAACTGTGTAGCTCTAGTGATGATCTCTATCAACAGAAATGAACTGTGTAGCTCTAGCGATTATCTCTATCCACAGAAATGAACTGTGTAGCTCTAGTGATGATCTCTATCCACAGAAATGAACTGTGTAGCTCTAGTGATGATCTCTATTCACAGAAATGAATTGTATAGCTCTAGCGATGGTCTCCCTCCACTGAAATGAACTGTGTAGCTTTAGTGATGATCTCTATCCACAGAAATGAACTGTGTAGCTCTAGTGATGATCTCTATCAACAGAAATGAATTGTATAGCTCTAGCAATGATCTCTCTCCACAGAAATGAACTGAAGCTCAAGCAATGATCTCTCTCCACAGAAATGAACTGAAGCTCAAGCAATGATCTCTCTCCACAGAAATGAACTGAAGCTCAAGCAATGATCTCCCTCCACTGAAATGAACTGTAGCTCTAGCGATGATCTTCACTGAAATGAACTGTATAGCTTTAGCAATGATTTTCATAGATCTATGAAAAAAAGATAGGCATGAACAGAAGTCAGGAACCCTTGACCTTTAGATTAATATGCCGTTGTCTTAGCTACTACACCGAGTGTTATTTCCTGCATGGAGTTTGTATGACCCATCATTGGCTCATAGATTGATGTAATTTTATTTTAATACATTTTGAAGTGTAGAACAATGCAACGAATGGCAGAGAAGTATATATATTAATTTTGTGGACTTTGAGAAAGCTTTTGACAGCGTCCATAGAGACGGTCTGTGGAAAATTTTACGACATTATGGAATTCCAGAAAAAATAGTCAACATAATTGCTCTTTTCTATAAAGACTTTTCCTGCAGTATAAAAAATTACAAAACATCTTTCCCAGTAAAGACGGGTGTAAGACAGGGATGTGTTATGTCATCTCTCCTCTTTAACCTTGTGATTGATTGAATACTAAAGAACACAGTAGACAGGACATTAAGAGGCATACGATGGACTCCATTCACCATGCTTGAGGACCTTGATTTTGCAGATGATATAGCACTCCCATCACATAAACATGAACATTTACAAGAGAAAAGTAACAGACTAAACTGCACAGCAGAAATGGTGGGACTGAGAATAAATACAAAGAAAACTAAGATCATGACAAACAGTCCAAACCAAAAACCAGTGACCATAAGTAACCAATCACTTGAAAATGTAGAACATTTCACATATCTTGGCAGTGTGGTGTCCCTACTGGGAGGGACAGAGGAAGACATACAGTCACGTCTGAACAAAGCTAGAGCTGCTTTTGGAAGGATGAGGCAAATCTGGAAATCCAACAATTACTGCAGAGAAATGAAACTCCGACTCTACAAGAGCATCATTTTGCCAGTTCTTCTTTATGGAGCGGAATGCTGGAGAATGACCAAAAAGGATGCACACAAGCTGTCCACCTTCCACCACACATGTCTACGTAGAATTATCAAAATTTTCTGGCCAGATACAATCTCAAACACTAAACTACTTCAAGCCACAAACCAAGAAACTTTAGACAGTATGATTACCAAGAGAAGATGGAAATTGCTTGGCCACGTTATGAGAATGACTTCTGATATACCTTCCAAAACAGCTCTCACATGGACCCAGAGGGAAAGAGAAAACAGGGGCGCCCAAAAACAACATGGAGATGAACGATGGAAAGTGACCTGAGTGCGGCATCTTTGACATGGAAAACTACACTGAAGATTGCACAGGACAGGAAAGCATGGAAAGTCCTCCCTGAAGCCTCATGTGCCACTAGGCATAACAAGAACTGATGAAGTGTATGCATTTTGCCCAATCAGAACTTCTCAGTAAGAATTGTACCATGCATTTGAATCATTCTCTGTCCTACATTTGTTATCTTGTAATTGGTGACAGCTTATATCTGTCAGCAAATGTCAGCATTATTTTCTGCTGGAACTTTTCAGACCATCCATTATCCCAAGAATAAGTTCAAAACCATGCCGTCTCAGTACACTAAGGTTGGAGCCTACCCCGTGGCACTTATCCCTGGCCAGTATCAGGAGAATTACAAAAAGTGAGAACTGGTTTGTTTGGTATCAAGTCTAGAAGTTATTAGCAGCATACCATGTCCTGTTTCTCATCAAACTGTTGTCACACTGTTGAATGTTGGATCAAGTGTATGTTGGTGTGTGTTTGGTAACTCCTGCAGGCACCGGCTTGAATCCCTGAAATGTATTTTTGATTGTTTTTTATGTTTACAACAATAAATAGTTGTGTATAGAAGAGTTAAAATAGCAACGCTAGATGGCAAATGAAACAGATGGAAATCATGAAATGACATACTTTCTCACAGAGCAAGGGGGAAAATAAGAGATGAATGCATAGATGACTTGGGCCACAAGATCTAATCAAGACAAGTACACAGACTTGATCTGAGACTTTCAGGATCATATGTGTCGACTAACCTGACCACTGACACTTATCGGCATAGCACATGATGATGATGTCAAGATAAATAAAGGTTTCTTTGCATGTCTCAGATGTATCAGGCATATGTTGATAGTTCCATATTTTTTGTATTAAACAATTTGCCCTTCATTGGTGATTTATTAACCCAGCTGTTCTCAACCTGTGGGTCGAGACCTCTTTGAGTGTTGAATTTCACAGGGGTCGCATTAAGACCACCGGAAAACACATTTTCACTGAAGTTATAAAGTAGCAACGAAAATTATTTTTTAGTTAGGGGTCCCACAACATGAGCATTAGGAAGGCTGAAAACCCCTGTATTAACCTTGCACCTGGCTGTCTGTTCAGTACATATTCTTGGCACCAATTTTAAGCTGGGTTGACCTGGGAGCCCAGATAAGTTAAAAGAAAACAAAAAAAACCTTGAGACGTAAAAATTCCATCTACCATTGTTTTTGCATCTGGTGCGCACATATTTCACCAGAGCAAGTTATTATTTGGGCTGTACTGAATATTCGCTTCGTATTCGCTTCGGGGCCGAATAGTGGACCTACTAGCTATTCGGTATTCGGCCGAATAGTGGCGGTCGGGCCGAATACGAATAGTGATTTCTGCATACACTGTGATGGACTAAAATAACTCTCTCATTAATAATGTCACAATTTATAGCCGACTTTTCTTGATTTTCGCCGCGGCACCCCTGTCAAACGCACCCAGTTTTAGAACCTCTGCTGTAATGCCTCAGAGTCAGGCGCTGTTACCGCGAAAACGGGTCGCCGTTTTTCCCGCTACGAAAGATTTAGGTATCGCTACTGTTGTGTTAAAAAAGGCATGAAGAAACTTGAAAGTGTATCTGGGTGTGTGTGTGTGTGGGTGTGTGTAAGAGAGAAAGAGAGAGAGAGAGAGAGAGACAAAGAGAGAGCATGCATTTTTTTGTTCTTTAGGGGTGTCTTTTCCCAAATCAAATTTAAGATATTGCAAACGAGAATATGGTGGTGCATTTAAATTACATGGAACGAACGCCTGAACGAAAAATGATTCAAATGTGAATTTGGCACATGGATAAAATCAGATGAAAGATGCATTACTAAAATAAAAAACAAAATAGGACAGGCAAAAACTGCATTTTATATATATATATATATAAAAAGAACATCTTGTGCAATATATCGTTGTCTTGCTTGCTACATACATCCAGTTTTAACATATGGCTATGAGTCCTGGACAATCGGTAGCCAGGCCAAACAATTTTTTGAGGCCTCAGAGATGTGGTTTTACAGAACAATGCTTAAAATACATTGGCCAGTTTAAAAAAAGCAACCACTAGGTTTTGAAAGAGGCGGGAGCCCGAAGACAACTAATCGCAGCCATCAGAAGAAGACAGTCATCATTTTTCGGCCATCGTATAGAAAGAGTGAAAATGGAACATGTGGTGACCACTGGAAAGATTTGCGAAAGGAGAGATAGAAAAAGACAACGAGAGAAGATTCTTGACAGTCGTTGCATGTCATGGAGGTGTGTCAGCACACAAACTGATACATGCTGCAGGAGGCAAAATCGCCACAACAGTTGGCGAGGCACCTGATGATGATGATACACTATTCGTATTCGTATTCGGCCGAATAGTTGGTCCCACTATTCGTATTCGGCCAAATAGTGAAAACCACTATTCGATACAGCCCTAGTTATTATTCTATGCCTTAGAACAGGACACAATCGACTTTGCAGTCACTTGTACACAAAATTTAAAATTGGCATATCAGCCATGTGCACATGTGGATTGGCACCTGAGACAACAGATCATGTCCTCCAATACTGTCCCAAATACAACATATCAAGGCAAAACTTTTGGCCAAGAGAAACATTGGTGCAAGTCAAACTTTACAAGTCGCTGAGTGAATTACAAAAAACAGTAAACATTGCAGATATAGATATCTATTTCAAGTAAACGAAAGAAGAAGAAGTTTAAAAGAAATAATCTGTCTCTGTTAGAATTTAAAATCAAGAGTTTTTGACCTCTGACCACTGGGGTAGCAAGTTTGCGATCCTCTGTGCTACCATGGTTCCCAATGATGTGTTGAGTTGAATAAAGCTAAGAACTGACATCACAGCACTCAGGACATTCCCATGAGTGCTCCATCATCATTTTCAGCAACCAGTGAAGAGTTCCAGTTTCGATGGTGCCTGTAACAGTTTAATGATATGTCCCACTTGCCTTTCCTCTGGGTGTAGAGCAGTGCTGTTCAACTAAGTTTACTCATAATCATCATCATCATCATCCTGTAACACTACATGTTGGGTCACCAGTTTCTGATGGCTGTCTGATCAGCTCTCTCCACCTTTGGCTTTCAGTGGAGATGGACTTCATGGTTGCATGCCTGAGGCCTGTCAGGTCGGGTAGGTTCTGTACCAGGTCTTTCTTGATCTGTCTCTTCTCCTCTTTCCCTCTACTAAGCCATGCAGTATGATTTTTGAGAGGCCGTTAGATCTTATTTCATGTCCATACCATTGCATTTTTCCCCTTTTCACTGTAGTTAAAAAAGGTTTATAGTTTCCAGTGTGCTGTATAATTTTATGGCGAACCTCTTCATTTGTAATGTTTACTCAGTAAAAAGTTTACTCAGGGGCCAAATTTCCAAGTGGGAATCGTCAAGGGCCAGAGGCTGGAGCTGCAGCATAGGAAGATCATTATTACAACTGCAGCGATCTGTGGGCCATTTGCTAGGCGTCTGCGGGCCAGATTTGACACTGGGCCGCCAGTTCAGTAGCCCTATTGTCTATTCTGGCTGTACTATGCTGTTAAAACCATAATGATCTGATCTCTTTGTGCCTCCAAACTGTTCACTTGCTCCCAAAAGGCCTTGATCACATTTAGCTTGTCATGCATCAAGCTTGTCCCAATGAAGTTCACACCACTTACTCATCGACTATTGTCATGCATCAGGCTTGTCCCAATGAAGTTCACACCACTTACTCATCGACTATTGTCATGCATCAGGCTTGTTTCATTGAAGTTCACACCACTTACTCATCAACTATTGTCCTGCATCAGGCTTGTCCCAATGAAGTTCACACCACTTACTCATCGACTATTGTCATGCATCAGGCTTGTCCCAATGAAGTTCACACCACTTACTCATCGACTATTGTCATGCATCAAGCTTGTCCCAATGAAGTTCACACCACTTACTCATCGACTATTGTCATGCATCAAGTTTGTCTCAATGAAGTTCACACCACTTACTCATCGACTATTGTCATGCATCAGGCTTGTTTCATTGAAGTTCACACCACTTACTCATCGACTATTGTCATGCATCAGGCTTGTTTCATTGAAGTTCACACCACTTACTCATCAACTATTGTCCTGCCATCAGCATTCCGAGCCCTTGAGGTTCATTTCTGCAGATATCACCCACCTCCGTTCATCTCTCTGGTTGGCCTTCTCTTTCCAGTTGGTGCCTCCCTTTGTCTCTTCTCTACCCTGTGACTTTTCCGGCATAGCTCTCAGGGCATTGTCCTGCCATCTGTGTTCAGAAATGAAATTATTAATATTCAGTGCTATCATTTGTTGTGCGTGATTCATCATTTGTATCTGTTTATTAAAATAATTGTTGGAAGATGTAGAATTGTTTAGTCTGTACTGATGATTGAGCTTTGTTTTCAGATATTCGGCTGAAGAACTCAAGTATTACCCTGTGAAGACCTCCTTAAAAGATCCACCTAAAGTAGTCAAATACATTCAACCTCCCCCGTCTGGTGTAAAGCTTCCTGCCACTGACAAACATGTAAGCTGAGTTTTTGTTGTTGTTGCTGCTGAGAAAGTTGTTTATTTGAACAAAGAAGGCACAAACAATAGATTGCACAATTTTTTGCCTTGTGTATTTTGCTGTATCTCGTCAGGTGGAAATATATAATGAAGCAGATAAATGAATTATTCTAACTATAATGAAAATCAACTACACTCCAAAGTATGAATTCTTTTAACTGAAGTATAGATTCAGCTACACTCAGAAGTATGAATTCTTCTAAATGAATACAAAGTCAGCTACACTCAAAAGTATGAATTCTTCTGACTGAATACAAAATCAGCTTCACTCAGAAATATGAATCCTTCTAATGGAATACAGAATCAGCTACACTTAAAAGTATGAATCCTTCTAACTCTCAGAAGTAACTGATTTACTGGCATCTGTTTTCTTCCTATTTCATTATCAGTAACATATGACTGAGCCACAGATTTTATTTAATTAGTAACTTACGTAATTGAGTCTTATATTTTTAGCATTAACAGTAACTTATTTGATTAATCCATAGATTTTAGCATTGACAGTAATTTATATGGCAGTATCATAGGTTTTAGCAATAACATTAACTTATGTATAGATTTCAGCATTAACAGTAATTTATATGGCTGAGCCATAGATTTGAGCATTAACGGTAATTTATGTCTAGATTTCAACATTAACAGAAACTTATGTGATATAGTCACAATGTTTAGCATTAACAGTATCTGTAACTTTTGTGATTGGGCCACATATTTTAGCATAGCAGTAACTAATGGGGCTGAGCATTAATAGCAACTTATATGGCCCAGTCGCATATTTTAGCATTATCATTGGTTTACATGATTGAGCCATTATTTAGAATTAACAGTAACCCTGTGTGATTGAGTCTTTGTTTAAAAATAACAGTAACCTTATGTGATTGAGTCATTGTTTAATATTAACTTCTATTATTGAGCCACATTGTTTAGAATTAACATATGTTACAGGGACTCAGTCCTAATCATAGACATAATTACTGATCTTTTAAGCATTCATGTCTGTCACATGACAGCTGTATTGGGACATTTATTTAACCACTTGTTTTGCAGAAAAGTATTGTCGTCTCTGATGGAGAAGAGAGCGGCTGTAGCAGCAAGGAGGATAATGGTGATGAGATTGGAAACATCGATAATGAGAATGAAGACAAAGAAAATGAAACTATGCAAGTTGAGGGATCTGACATAGTGTCACTTGTCAGACTGGAGAAAAAGAATAAAGTAAAGAGAAAATATACCAAAAGTTCCTCCCCTGATAGGTTGAAAAAAGTAGGGAAAAAGATGAAAGATGCAGAAGTGGAGAAGGAAGAGGAGAAGGTTCTCCAAGACAGCGCTGAACAGGGAACAAGTCCAGATGGAAAGAAGATGCCTGCTAAGGTAAGAAGTGTTTATTTGTTGCTAGCTCTGGCTTGTGAGATTTTGTGTGCTTTTATTGAGTGTCATGTATGTATTGGCCTTGAGAAGGGACTGAAATGTTCCACTGAAAATACCCATCCATACTTCTTTTTCTGCCTTTACCCGCTGATTTGATTTGATTCGATTCAAGAACCAACATCACAGCACTCGGGGCAATCCCATAAGCGCTTCATCCCCATCTTCAGCAGCCAGCGAAGAGTTCCGATACTCATATTGCCAGTAGCATTCTGATTTAACGTCCGTCTTGACTTTCCACTGAGCCTCGAGCATCTGCCAGAACCTCTCGTCACTCCCCGCTGCATCAATCTCACCAGACTGTGGTGACCCGCTGAACTTTGGAAAGTCCTGACTGGTCATCTAAGTCCAGATTTCTATCTTGATCCAGGTCTTGAGTGTTGCCAATGCACCCATTTTCAGACTTAACTTATTGTGTTCAAACAGGTGGTTACTTGTCAGTCAGATGTAGAAGTCTGACGTGAGGAAACTTTGATCCTGTCTATATTGGCCAGGCCCTCTCTAGGGAGCCTGTTTGTAGGATCTCCACATGGAGGTGTAGAAAGGTCTTGGGTGTGAGTCATGTGTCTAGATCATCAGCACAAGTGGTGCTGGATGTCTGCATCCCATGCACATTGCAAAAACAAATGATCTGTAAAAGTGTATTTCTTGTCCTAGTGTGGGTTCCAGGGCCCGATTTTATGGGGAGAATGGAACAGGCGCACTACTCCTGCAACTTGAAATATGACTACTTGGTGTTATGTTGAAATCAGCTGTGTTCAGCCAAAAGGCATAAATATCACAGCCTATCTGTAAACCACAATGCAGCATGTCAGCGGGCTATTTTAAAGGTGAAGTAATGATGTTGACTCAAAGGTAAATGTTACCAGGGTAGGTAACCTGGTGTCTTTTCCAGTTCTTTTCCAATTGTCTGGGATATTAATAGGGCCATCAGCTAGTACAGTCTGGCCAGGCAACAGTGACTTGACTCTGTCTGTGTCCTTTGTGAACCTCAGTCCATTCTAGTGTAGTTTCTATGTGTCCAGTCTGTCACACCGGTTGTTTTTATAGAGATGTCTTGGACAGTGTTCCTAGTTGGCTTAGACTGCAGACCCTTTTTATTTGTGAAGGTCTGCCGCAGAGCCTGTATGTGTTTTTTTAAAGTCTGAGATTTTTCTTGCTTGTATAGTTACCACTGGAGTTCAGTAGAGTTAGAGACAGTTCAAGATGGCTCTGTAATAACATAATTAGAACTAACTTGTTAACTAGTTGAAATTCATACTTTCACCATTAGATGGCTGACAATGATATTCTTTCATTCTGAAGAGCTTATTATAACCCATAAATAGAATTTCAAAAAAAGTAACATTTTTTGTAGGTGTGTAAATGATACTATAGACCAGGGCTATTCAACTAAGTTGACCCAGGGGCCAACATTTTCAAAAATGGGGATTGTCACGGGCCGGAAGCCCCAGCCCCAGCATAAAAAAACCATAAATGCAATACAACTAGCAGTAATCTGGGGGCCACTTGCTACACCTTGGCGGGCCAGATTTGGCCTGCGGGCCGCCAGTTGAATAGTCCTGCCGTAGACCCTTAAATTTGTTCTGCAGGCCTAGGATATTTAGATGACACAATTTTTTCCTCTCAGTTTGTCACTGAAATGGTCAAGCCGTTTGCCTTGCATTCTGAAAGTTGTGTGTTCGTTTCACGACTGTGCCCTTCAGTTCTTGAGTGCAATTTTTATGGAGATCCCTGGGGATCATCTCCGGAGCTACTGAGTTCATGCTCTGCACAGCGCTCTCAGCAGGTGGCCAGCCATTTTGCAGAGAGAAACTGAGACATATGAGATAAAACCCAATGCAATGAAGTCGATGCTCTCGACTGTAACCTTTAACCTTTATGCTTACGCTATTCACACATTTTGTCTTAAAGTTGTATTCCTAATTTTACGGCTAAGTTGGTTTTGTCACCTGTGTGTTATAAATAGATGGTTATTGTTCTTCTTCCTCTGTGTTCCCTAATGAAAGGGTGATTGACACATTTTATTTGTGGTTCATAGATAGGCTGTTAGATCGTGATGTTTTCGCCCAACACATCTGATTTCAGCAAATCCCTTCTGTCTCTTATAAAAGAGGCAATGGGTCTAACTTTGTTCTTCCCAAAAATTGCGCCCCGGAACTCACACAGAGAGGTGAGCATTGACTTCACATTTTTTAACTCTAGCAAGGAATATATCAGTCTGGCATTACAAAGAGTTTTAGTTTCGGGCTTTTTGTGTCAAGGGATTCTATTGCTACCTTACTTTTTTCAGCAATATACATAAGCTTATAGCTAGTTATCTTAATGAAATGTGGTGCTAATGTTAAACTATAAGCATTCTTTTATTTTCAATTTATTTCAGATTCATGGGCTTGAGAAGTGCCGAATTTGCAAGATGCGTTCAACAAAAGAAGAGAGAAAGGCCGGCAAGCTAGTGAAATGTGCAGAGTGTGGAAAGATAGGTTTGGGAAAAACTCTTGATTTCTTTCTGGGATGTCTTGTATTGTTTATACTATTGCCTTAATTGCAGTTAATATATTTATTATAGTACAATCTATTTCCCATTGGATACCTATTTATCCTTAGAAAAACAACACAAATCTGTGCATGCTTTATTTTGACATATGGCTACTTCATCTTATTGGAATGAATACAAGAGGAATGAAGAAATAAGAGAAATGGTTGGGTAATGACAGTTAAAACGATGAAGAAGATGTTGCTGTAGCGGACACATTCTTTAAAGAAGCAAGCAGACAGTCACCAGACAGGCAATAAAATGGGAAATGAATAAATCATGGAAGCAAGGCCACCGAAATGAAACCCTAGTACGAATGTTAATAAGAGAGGCCAAAGGTGCTGGATCAGATCCCATCCATGATATCAGATTGATTGCATAGCAGGACAGTGATATATAATGGCAAAACAGGACAATGATACTTGATCTTATGTTGAACTGTGACAATGGCCAAACAGATTTGTTTTCTTCAAACATTGTTTACTTGGAATGCTTAACGGATTTTCAGTTGAGTTAAGTTGAGTCAAGAATTGACATCATAGCACTCGGAGGCATTCCCATTTGCCCTTTGCATCTTCAGCAGCCAGCGCAGAGTTCCAATACTAATGGTACCGGTCTTAATCTTGTTATATATCCCTCTTGCCTTTCCTCTGAGTGTAATGAGCTGGCCAGACCCTGTAGTCACACCCAGGTGCATCATGCTTTCCAGGCTATAATAATCTAGTGTCTCTCTTGACTTCATTACTTGTTCCCAAAAGGCCTTGACCACATCTGCCTTGTCAATTTTCAGCTATTTCCATATTTCCTAAAGCATTTTTGGAATGTACAACAGAATGTCTTGAAGCTTATAAATTGTTTCACACTAATGATCCATTGGGATCAAATGGCAGCAGTTACCCACACGATCATATTCTAACACTGGACAGTGAAGGAATGAGCACACCAGACCACATCTTTTCAGCTAAGTGCTGCATTCACATCCCTTTTATAGATCTGACTTATTTGTATGCAAATGGTTGGTTCCTTGTCTCTCAGGCAGATGCACTCTGACTTTGAAAGAAACTCCTATTTGTTCTACTTTCACAACATACTTGTTGGGGAAACAATGGGTCTATTCTTGTTTCCCCTGCAATGGGGCCTCAAATCCCACATGGTAGTTTAGTCTACTTGATATGGCTTGGTATATTCAACCAGTTTTGAATTTTTAACCGGTTAAAGTGCATTGGACTTAATTTAATTTTTAACATGCTCGTGTGGGCTCTTGGGTCTCCATGGTGGGGAAAACAAGAACAGACCTACTGCCTCCCCAACAAACATATCATAAGAGTCGACTAACTGGGGCTTCCTTCGAAGTCTAAGAAGCAAGGAACCACAAGTCTGCATACAAATAAGCCAAAGAATGCGAAGAAGAAGAATTTATAACTATTTTAGTATATTTGACCTGCTTGATAGATATTGGTGAGGCTGAGTTTCCCTTCTCTCCCTCCTCCCCCCCCCCCCCCCCCCCCCCCCCCAGAACGACAAAGACTTAGAAAAATTCTTGTTTATTCGGCAGTCAAAGCTCAGTCACTTTTCTTGTATGTGCTTAATCAGTTGATTCCGAGGTTGATATAAATGTAGACTTTTTGACTGACCATAAAATTGTTTCTGGCGAGTTAATGTTTTATGACCCTTTGATGTCACATTCAGTCAGAGGGTAACAGGCAATAAATGTTTTTATTTAGTCTAATCTCCCCCTCCTCCCATCTCCATAATTTTACATTTTGTGACGGTAAGCCAATAAAAATAATTTAAAAAAACAAACCTTCAAAAAAATCAAATCAGCATACCAGTTCCTGAATACTGATATATTTGCAGGTCACATGAGCTGCCTTGACCTGACAGAGGAACTGGTTGCAGTTATCAAGACCTACCCCTGGCAGTGCATGGAATGCAAGACTTGTGTGGAGTGTTTAGATCCATATGATGAGGTATTTGAGATTTCTTTCTTTCTATAGTGGTTACATTGTTGCTACATTTAGATGTTTTGAACAGTACCTTTCTATTTTGTAGTTGCTTGTTACATAGAACCCGTTTTAACATGGTTGTACATCCTGTCAAAAAAAGGGACAAAAAGAACACCTCACAAATAAGGCCACGACTTGTCCCTGTCCTACGAAAATATCCGGAAAGTTAACCTGCTCAACAAATGCTCGATGAGGTCAGATGTGTCGGCCCAAAGGCGCAAATATCGCAACACTGCTGTTAACAGACACAGTGTATTTACGTCACTGGGAGGAACAAACTGAAGAAGATACACCTAAATGTCATTCTTTACCGCACAGATGGAATTGTCATTCTTTACCGCACAGATGGAATTGTCATTCTTTACCGCACAGATGGAATTGTCATTCTTTACCGCACAGATGGAATTGTCATTCTTTACCGCACAGATGGAATTGTCATTCTTTACCGCACAGATGGAATTGTCATTCTTTACCGCACAGATGGAATTGTCATTCTTTACCGCACAGATGGAATTGTCATTCTTTACCGCACAGATGGAATTGTCATTCTTTACCGCACAGATGGAATTGTCATTCTTTACCGCACAGATGGAATTTTGTGTAGTGGACGACTTTGAAACACTTTATATGTTTTTTTCACTAAGCTAAGATGCCTAGGATTAAACATGTAGCATGAATTGTTCACTTCTGATATTTGATACAAATGTGTCCCCTCTTTTAATGCATTACTCAGATATCTCCTAGAAATTTGCACCAGTAGCACACACAAGATGTTTTAGTCCAAAACACTGTTAGCTTCAAAAAGAAATTCTTTCAGAAAGGATTTTGTTAATAGAAGCATAATTAATAGCATGAAACCAAACAAATGTGCATGTGCAAACAAAAAAGACACTCATCATTTAATTGCCTTCAAATTTATGTCTGAAATTATGAAAGTAATAATTTAATTTCTTGTGTCACAATTATGTGAATACAAATACAGTGGTAACAATTTATTTGTGTGTCATAAATATTATAAAAGTATCCACTAGATTTTACAATTTTTAACCAAGAAGAGAATGAATATCATAAACAGGAGCAGTGATTTGTAGAAAAGAGAAGAGAATACATTGTGCATGTATGGGCACACCTATTCATATATACATTTTATCTGTGTTTATGAAGATGTAAAAAATTTATTAATTATATACTTTTAGGATAAGATGATGTTCTGTGATCGCTGTGACAGAGGCTACCACACTTTCTGCATTGGTCTGGATGCACTGCCCACTGGTCACTGGGAATGTAAAAGCTGTGAGGGACTTCCACCAATAGAGAACAAGCCAAAGTATGTCTGCTTCTGTTTTATCCTGTTATTCAGACTAGATGTGTTTCCAGGTTGAGTTTGTCTTGAAGTAAACAAGTAAAGGAGCCCTTCTATGCGTTGTGATACTGGAGAATCAGATGCTAGTCCCATTTTTTTTAAAAATAGACCAGTCAGTACTTGATGCGGTTAACATGCTGGCTGCTTTTGCTTCCCATGATGTTTCCTAGTACCCCTTTTAGGTCAGTAGCCAGGTAAATTTTAATAAATGGGCCTCAGTGTAAATTCAGATCCATGACCACCAAATCATCAGCAGACAAGAAGGCTAAGCCATTGTAATGCCAAGGCTCTCTTGCCAGCTAATTAACTCATGAAATTCTGCTGCTTGACAGTGAATCTTGGAATATGAATGCATATATTAAGATAGTGCTTGGAGGCAGTGTAGATGTGTGATTGTTTTGAATACATTGTTCTTTGGCACCTTTCCTTCTTTCCAGACAATGGTGTTCCATTGTATTATAGAGGGACATAAGAAACAAAGCACATGGCGATCCTACTTCTGTTTTCTTTTCTTGTTCTTTATGTTCACCAGTGTAAACTCTGGCAGAAAATTCTGGTTGTTTGCCCACCTCTGGACCTTAGTCTTGTTCCAAAATGTGCACATCCATTTCACAGATCTGACTTATTTATATGCAGGTTGTTGGTTCCTTGCTTCTCATGCTTGTTAGGGGAGGCAGACGATCTTTTCTTGTTTTCCCCATAATGAAGGCTCTATGAGATTAAGTGAACAGTGCAGTAGAACAGATAGAGAAAACATACACCAAAAGACTAATTCAATGGGGTGTGTGTAGAGGTTCTGGAAGATATTCAGAATTGAGGGGGAAATGGATCAGGACTTTTAATCAGGTTGCAGTTGATACTGTTAGCAAAATGATGTCTCTTCATTGGCTACTGAAGAAGGGGATGGAGTACACATGGGAATGTCCCAAGTGCAGTTATGTCAATTCTGAACTCATTCATTCATTCTCAGACTTTGACCCCAGATTGGGCAGCGATCCTACTTTAACCCAAGGCCAGGGATGAAGTTCCTCCTCCTCATAGTGCAAAATCTGGGCAGTGTTGTAGAGACTGTGTGTGGTGCCCATGCAGCATCATATGATGTGTTGTCTCATACTGCTCCAAGTTGTTTCAATAAATACCTTGTACAGCCGGAGCAAATAACGATTGTGTCAAGAAAAGTAAAAGAAAATTAAATTCTACTAATATAAAGAGACAAAATATAGTGGGCTGCTTGGTCTCGAGGCATGGTATCCGCCTCGAGTGCTAGAGGTTCTGGGTTCAATCCCCAATAAAAGCTCAGATTTTTTCACATGGACTTGTACTTCTAGCAATTCCCCCTGGTCTCTGGGTAGTTCTTCTTCTTCTTCGTTCACCGGCTGTGAATTCCGGCGGGAGGTCCCAGTTAATCGTCCGCTTGAACTTTTGCGGGTACAACCGTTTTTCTGGCTTTTGCCATTCCCTGCCTCATGGGCGGATGTACTCCGACTTTGAGGGAAGACGTCAGGCCTATTCCTAGGATGACTGTGGCCATTGTTTTGTGTGGGTCAAGATGTTACCTTATTTGTATGGTGTCCTCTTTGTCCCTTTCTTCACAGGTGTTGCCCCCAGAGTATCCCCTTTGGGGCAGCCCTGTGTGGAACGGTTAGCTCTCAAGGGAAGGCAGGGGCAGATCATGGGCATTTCCCGCCATCCAAGGAGGCTTCCATAAGTGCACAGCCGACACATAACACTCTGGTTCTTGTCTCACCCAAGGAATCGTCACGTCCTGCACATGACTGCCTAATCTCACAACCGTATTTGGCTTCCTGCTCGACACGGGTTGCGATCTCCGGAGATCAGCCCATGTGTTCTGGACTTTTGTGACCACACGAATAGGTACATTCTTTTTCATCGCACGATTGTCATCTTTAACGTGCTGTTAGCACGACAGAATGGAGAATGCGTCAAGCATGTCTTTATCTGTTTGGTCCCAACACTCGGGTGAGTGGGGTCTCGGGATGTGGACATTTGGACTTTTCCCCAATCAATACGATTTATGATGGTCAGGTTTTGAGCTTGCTCGTGTGCCATAGGATCTATTTTTGTTGGACATTAGGGCTTAACCAGCCGATGGAGGCTTACTGTCACGGTGTACCTCAGCGCGATGGCGATGACACTGAGGGTTGACAGAGGATGTACATGGGTAGAATCTTGCTGTGAGACCCCACCCACAGGAGATGTTACTCATCTGTGCTGCGGGTAAATCTCTAGGTGAAGGGTTGAATCTCAGCAGAACAATGTTCTCTTCACTCTACAAACTTTTAACCAAGGGTTGTCATTTTAGTTGTACGTTTGGCAAGCACTTTACTCATGTTTCTAATGAGTTTTGATAAACTTTTTCACCAATGCGTTTGGGGGGCGGGCTGATGAGAGCCACAAGGACACATCACCTCTGGGGGCCGCCAACTCCAAGATCCCCTGACAGCTCTGTTAAAGCTCATTTGATACATTATCCATGGCACACGACGAGGACATGCTGCAGGAGTCTTGCGTAATGTTCCATAAAAACGAGAACAGTGCTGGACTGGCGCCCTAGTGACGTATGGAGTATCTCCTTATACACATCAGGTTGGACTTAAACTTTACCTCACGCCTGTGACAGAAATCACCACGCCACTCTCTGGGTAGTGAGATTGGATGCCCGTGTGCATTGTTGCGCACGTAAAAAATCCCTTGGCAGTTAGAAATCGAAAAGAATAGCTTAATGGCGCTGCCCAGGCAAAATTTTTAGTTAAAAATCTACCCAAAGTATTTAGGGATCCTCGCCGGTGCTACAGAGCCTGTGCACTGTGCTGAGCTTCTAGGGACTCACTGACTTGAGTTAGAAGAAGAATAGAGCACTTATGGGTTACATCCGTGTGCCATGATGTTGATCCGTTGTTCAAAACCTCAAAGAGACAAATATTGAATCTTGAGGCCTTGAAGAACATCATAATGGCTTGAGAGATCAGCTGTAGATAAGACAGAAGTCAGAGAAAGGCATGACTAATTACTGTCATTGCATTAGGATAATTTTGATATCATCTGAGCTTTGGTTGTTGATTTCCATTTCTGTATTTGTAGGTTGAGTCTGTCCCAGGGAACACAGCCAGTGCGGTCGAAGAAGGTTTCCAAAGCTTCAGCAGCACGGTCATCCTTGTCAGTGAAAAGTGAACCTGATATTGGGGAAGATGAAAGTGGGTCTTTGAAGAGTGAAGGCCAGGCATCCACAGAGATCACAGACAAGCTTTTACAGGACAGTTCTCACAGTGGGGGTAAAGAAACCCCAGGGAGTGAGAAAGAGGGGAAGACGAACACTGCAGTAAGAGTCCAGGCATCAGGTGATCGTAAAGGCAGAAAGAGAAGTTCTCTTTTGTTGACACCAAAATCAAGAAAAAGTAAGACTCCTAAACCCAGGCTTTCCAAAAAAGACAGGATTAAAAAAGCCAGGCAGACCAGGAGGCTGAAAGCTAAGGAAGGGGCTAGGAATGGCGGGGAACACAAGATTCTGAAGAAGCGGAGGAGTAAAAAGATGGAAGAAAGAGAAGCAAAATTGCTGCTAGAAAATCCTGAAGAAATTGAAAGTGCCAGTTACACAGTTGAAAAGGGTATAGATGGAAAACAAGCTCATTTAGATGAGTTTAGAGAAATGGTGGGTGAAGGAGTGGATGATAGTTTTGTCAGTGCATACAACAAGGATGATAAAAATCTGGATTTGATACGTTCAGTTTCTAGAAGCATTAGGGTTCAGGGAAATGGCTCTGTGGATGTAGAATTGAAAGATAGCCTTGGCATATCTGCAGTGAAACTGGATGAAGTAGCAGGTAAAACAGCATTGAAGGAAGATAATTTTACAGAAGCATTTAGTTTGCTTCCTGCAGAAACTGCTGAAATTCTGCCGTATGAGGCCATGGACCAAACAACAACAAATCTAGTCTGTTCAGAAGGCAGTGCCACAACATTGTCTGTTTATGGAGAGCTCCAAGATGGGTATGTTTCCTTGTCTTCTGCACAGCAGCCTCAAACAGTTGATCAGTACCAAGCTCTCACAGTTACTGATGTAGCTTACTCAGCCACAAATGAGGGTTTTCATTCACAGTTAACCGACTCCCAGATACAGTTCCATGCAGTGCCGCAAGTTACTCCATCTTCATTGCCTGTAGATTTATCAGAGCTGCAGCTGCCAGTGTCTGAGTCTCATTTACTGCTGCCACACATGCCTCCATTGCCCGTAACACTGTTACAAGAACTGCCACATTCAGAGTCACAGAATATACACTATTCAGAAGCACCAATAGATGTGCCCCAAGAGAATTTATGTCTTGAGGGTGGTCAGTTGCAGACTATGTTACCTTCAGTAACACTTGCATCAGACCAGGCAGCACTCTTCTCTCTGCCTTCTGCTGATGTTGACTTGCAAATTCAGCATATAGAAGATATGCCACAGGTGGGACAAGTCTTGCTGGACCCACCACAGAGTAGCTTTGTTTGCATGGATCCCTCTGTGGATGGTTTGACTTTAGACCATCCTGCTGCTGAAACTGCCTCTTCTTCCACACAGTTTAGTTTAGATAGTGCCCTAAAAATGGATGTTGATCAAGAGAACTCAGAGAAGACCAGTTCTTCATCTAACGAAAACTTGACAAGTTTATAGCTTTATTTCCTACGCTTGGCCAGACATATAACCTCACTTTATTTCTATATCTATTTTCATTTCCTTCAGATCCTGTACAGTTAGTCTTTTGTTTTTTAAATTTGGAATGATAGTGAGTAATCTCAAACAGTCAGCTATGACTGAGAATGTATTAGCAGGAAGCCTTTGGCCACATAGATTCAGTGAGTTGTTTATTATCTCCTCTGCTAGTTTCACTATGTTCACTGCACAATCAAAATCCCTTTACTTTTACTCCCAGATTGCTGCCAGTGCCCAGCATTTTTTCTGTCTTGTTTAGGTGCCTCTTTGTAACATCAGCATCCAGTTGTTCTCTTATTGTCATAAATCTCTCTAGTGGATCATTGAACATATTCTTTCAGAGACTTAGAAAAAACTTTTAAGGTACTGATTGCGGTGACTGTATTAGTTACAACTGTTGAGTTATCTAAGTTCTTTCTCTAAGAATTTACAAAAACAAAATAAAACATAATCTTAGGAAAGACACTATTTGTAAAAAGTTTTTTTTTAAAGCATGTAAAAAAAAAAAACTATTTTGTTTTTAAAAATGCATTTTAGAAATGTTTCTTAACACTTATTTTAGTCATAGAGTGGTAGTTTGGCTTTATTCTCATTAGATGTGTCTCTCTACCTGTTCTGTTCACTATCTGCTGTCAGCACTTAACCAATTAAGTGTCAGACAAGTGGCCCTTTCAGTATTGGTTTCAGAACATACTTTTCTGAACACCTTGTCACCCACCCAGTTGTTACATTAAACCACCACTCAACTCAAAGTGTTTGACTTCTTCTGTCAGTTAAGTAACAAATTTATAGAATATGATGAGTGGAAGCAACACCTGTTATGTACTGAACAAGTTAATGCTGCTCTGCAAGTTAACTTTGTTTCCACATACATTGTTGACACCAGAGCCGGATTTAGACTTAATGAGACCCCAAGGCATACACAAATAAAATCCTGAGGCCCCTACTGTTTTAAATTACACCAGTTAATCTCATAATCTATCCTGGCCTGGAACCACATCTTTCACCGGTTTAGTAATGAAGTTGTGGTCATTCAGTAAACATCGCAGACTTGGCGCCACGGTACTTCTTCCTGTTTACACAAATGAAGAATCTGCTTTATTGATATCATTCAGCATATAACTTAACAAGTGAATTTGGTCTCTAAGCAATCAACATGTGATGATGTGCTGGCAAAGAATCAATAGTAAAAAATCACTGTTTTAAATGAATCAGTTTGTTTGTTGTTTGTTTGTTTTAGTATTCAGAAGCCATGAGTTGTTAACCCTTAGGCTCGGTATTCTGGATATCGCAACCTTTCGGCCTTGATTCCATTGTAAATACCGTAAATCTGGGATAAATGTGGCTTTTCTGCCTACCCCTGGGAGTGAACAAGGACCACAAGGAGTTCGTCACCCGCTCACCTCGCAATCCGGTTTAGCCAACTGCGCTAGAGAGCCGTGCAAATGAATCAGTAAATGCACCTATGTGCTTTACATTATAGCATCTTTTGTTGTTGTATATAATTAATTAACAAAATAAACACACGCTCCCCACATAGTTTAAAAAGAACAAAACAATGAGTGAGTATGTTGTATTTTCTGTTCTCTTTTTTTTTCAACTTAAATTATCTGTTAAAAAACTTGATTTAGGCTTAACTCCTTCATTATCAGACAGTTGTTGCTATAACATTTTCCTATCTAAAAATATCTACCCTTTAGAACAGGGCTATTCAAGTAGAAACCTGCGGGTCAAATCTGACCCGCAGAGGCTTAGAAACTGGCCGGCGGATTACCTGTTGGTAGTATTGTATTAATGATCCTTCAATGCTGAAGCTTAAACCTCTGGCCTGCGACAGTTCTCATTTTCCAACATTTTGAGCCCATGAGAAAACTTAGTTGAATGGCCTTGCGTTAAAGCAACAGTTTTGGTCCGAATGAATGGGCAGTAGCATAGGAAGGGAGTACACCTGGCACCCCTACGAAAAACAGGGGGAGGGGGTGAATGACAAAATGGCAAAAATGAGTTTTCAACATTAGAAATGAATAGGAGACAAGGGGGGGGGGGGGGAATTGGCAAAAAGGTGTTGTTAAAATCATATATTATATATATATCGGGGAGGAGGGTGTAACAGGAAATTGTCCACACCAGTACGACCGGACATTGCTTAAGCACAGACTATGGGACAGTGTAAGTTAATGTACTGGTCGCGATAGAAAGGGTTCAAATAACAGAAAACCTGAAGAAATATACACAACCTTTGAAGAAATTAAGAAGCCCAAAAGTGAGCATGAAACTAAAATAATTTAAGCAAACCCGAAAACGCCCTGCATGACTAAGAATAAGGACAGAAACAAACAGTGAAACGACTACACAAGGGCAGGCACATCACTTTGTCTTTCTTCTCAAGAGCATTTGTTTTCACAAAGTTCACCAGGAACTAGATACAGGACAGCGAGATCTGAAAGTAGGGTGTTGCCAAAGTCATCTCCAAGGTGATAAGTAAACGCAAGCAAATGGTGTATTCATAAACCTTTAGACATCAGCCTGGATGTCTTCAAAGAAAGCAGCAATTAATGGGATCATAATGAAGGTACCGTCGGCTCTGTGGCTAAGTCGATGCGAACGCTTCGTAATGCCGGGTTCGATCCCAGCTGCGGGACATGCACCTTGCGTTGGTTTCGACAGTGGTATCAAAAAAGCTTACCGTCCAGAGGCAATGGCAAACTACTGAACGTAAATTTACCTAGAAAAACCACACAAAACAGGGGCTGTTGGAGTTTCTTTCTGCAACGTCCTATAAAGGATACGCAACCAACTAACCTAATGAAGGTACCACAGAGAATTTTATTAAATAGTCAGCTATAGGCCATATGGGTAGTAACCCATTAGTGCACCGTTCTTCTAACTCAAGTCTGAGTCCGAAGAAGCACAGCACCGTGTACAGGCTCTGTAGCACCGACGAGGATCCTGAAAAACTTTGGGTAGATTTTTAGCTCAAAATTTTGCTGGGCAGCGCCACTAGGCTACTCTTTTCGATTTTTAACTGCCGAGGGATTTTTGTACGTATGCAACAATGGCATCCTATCTCACTACCCAGAGACCAGGGGAAGTACAAAAATTCCAAGTCCACGTGAAAAAATCCAAGCTCTTACCGTAGTTAAGTAGTTAAGTAAGAAACCTCGCTATGGAAACAAGTGTACTAAAAACATGACCAACTAATAAAAGGTGTCTTCATTGTACACTTGTTTCTATTTGGAGGTGACAGGTTCGATTCCCGGAACGGTAATAATAGCTTTCGATCTTTTATGTTGTCTAGTGTGTCCTTCTACATTTTTACTTCTTTCTGTGAGTGCCAGTCAGTACATTGTCTGCCTGTTTACTGATTGATGATTGGCACCTTTCCGTCTTTCCAGACGATAGTGTTATATTATGCTTTGAGGAGGCATGGGACTCACAGCTTATGGTGATGGCGAGTGTGACTGGAATATCCGCCCATGTTAAGAAAAGCCTCCCACAACTATATCAAGAAAAGATCTAAAACTGAACGACAAGTATATTAGCAAGCTTCACAATATAATAAATACAAACAAAACGTGAACGCTGTGACTATAAAGCCTTTATCAGCACATACACAAATCAATACCACACAAAATCACTTAGCTGGTATCTCAAAGTAGCCGGGTCGATGACTTCTCAGCAGACTGCCGACACGCGTGGGCCAGAGGAAAAAATACTCCCTGTGGAGTACCAGGGGCCATAGCTGGGGGGTTTGAGATAAAACTGACATTTCACAATTATAGCATGGGTCACCCTTTTTCTTGTACAAAGATGTTTTTGTTTGAGTCTTTGAAGTCTTGAAGAACCTGTCTCTCTTGCCAACAGTGTGTTATTAGCTGATGAATGTGTGGGGTTAGAATGTCTTTTTCACTCCTGATGATCTTAATAGGGATTCCATTTCTGCCTAGGGCTTTCACCGAAGCCTATTCATCAAAAGCATTCCCAACTTCTACAACTGTTAGAAATGTGTCTAGATAGTCAAGAGTTGGTAGCATCTTCATGGCATTAAAAGCAGAATCTGTTAGTGTAGTATTAACTGAATCCAGCTCCAAATAATCTTCCACTCATTTATCTAGCTGCTTCTTCTTGCCGTTAATAATCTCCCCATTCAAACTCTTTAGTGTTGCGCTTTTTTAAATAGTTGGGCCAATGGCCTTCTCCGTCTCCTCATACATGCCTCTAACATCACCACCACCACCACCACTGCTAGCATTTGGAATACTTTCATATAACTGGATCCAGTAGTTGTTGGCACACAGCCTAGCTACCTTTTGCAAATGATTTATAGCTTCTCTCAATTAACTGAGGGTGTTCCTTGTTGTTTTTTCCCTCGTTTCTGAAGAGTAATTACTTTTTGCTGTCAATTAAAGGCTGGAGTGTTTCACTATTTGCTTCAGACCAGTTCTTACTTCTGAGTTCTCTAATCCCTTAGACTGATATAGCTGTTTTGTGGGACATAATCAATGCTATATGCGAGGCAGAACGTGCTGAAGATCTCAAAAGGGAAGATTTTATCAGCAAACATACTTACGTCCTTTTCAGGACTTAATTTTTTCTTATTTGAAGCCCCACTCTGGCTTTTTCCAGGGGCCGCAATATAGGCAGGCCATCAATATGGCCAATTGTCTGAACGCGGTTTCTGGGACCTCTCCACGGTGATCCTCATCCGCATGGTGGTACTTTGTGTCATCGGGTGTTTATCGCTTGTGTGATGTCCTAGTGGGGTAGAAAGTCAGTCAGTCAGTCAAAGGGAAGATAATCATTTCTAACTCAATTGCGAGGTCTAGCTATACCAATTTGAGCAGCGCGACGTGAAAACCATGCAAAACCCTACGGTCACTACATCAAACAACACAGAACAGGAGTCGTCGGGATAAATACACCAAGAAACATACTTGAGAGAAGATCTGAGCACTTCTGAG